CAGCAGAACCAACTGTAATCAGTGAGATGAGTCCAGGTGGCCAGCAGAACCAACTGTAATCAGTGAGATGAGTCCAGGTGGCCAGCAGAACCAACTGTAATCAGTGAGATGAGTCCAGCTGGCCAGCAGAACCAACTGTTATCAGTGAGATAAGTCCAGCTGGCCAGCAGAACCAACCGTAAACAGTGAGATGACTTCAGGTGGCCAGCAGAACCAACTGTAATCAGTGAGATGACTCCAGGTGGCCAGCAGAACTAACCATAATCAGTGAGATGGATCCAGGTGGCCAGCAGAACTAACCATAATCAGTGAGATGAGTCCAGGTGGCCAGCAGAACCAACCGTAATCAGTGAGATGGACCCTAAGTGGCCAGCAGAACCAACTGTAATCAGTGAGATGATTCCAGGTGGCCAGCAGAACCAACTGTAATCAGTGAGATGAGTCCAGGTGGCCAGCAGAACCAACTGTAATCAGTGAGATGAGTCCAGGTGGCCAGCAGAACGAACCGAAATCAGTGAGATGACTCCAGATGGCCAGCAGAAACAATCGAAATCAGTGAGATGGTTTTGGGTGGCCAGCAGAACCAGCCGTAAACAGTGAGATGAGTCCAGGTGGCCAGCAGAACTACCTGTAATCAGTGAGATGAGTCCAGGTGGCCAGCAGAACCAACCGAAATCAGTGAGATGAGTCCAGGTGGCCAGCAGAACCAACTGAAATCAGTGAGATGAGTGCAGGTGGCCAGCAGAACCAACCGAAATCAGCGAGATGAGTCCAGGTGGCCAGGTGGGCCAGCAGAACCAACCGAAATCAGCGAGATGAGTCCAGGTGGCCAGCAGAACCAATCGAAATCAGCGAGATGAGTCCAGGTGGCCAGCAGAATCATATTTCAATTAGAATGAAGGCTAATGATTTAATCAAAAATGTTTCTGATTTGAGTTTAACTACATTTAGACAACTTACACGTCCAAAGAGGAGGGGTTTTCCAGTGATTATTATGGTGATAAAAGCAATTTAATCCAGGCTTCTGACAGGCATCTTCCTCTTCCTTTAGTTCAACGTCAGTTATTTTTTTACCTGCTTTCTTCAGTTTTTTAGCTTTCTTTTGTACACGCTGGTCAATTTCTTCTTCTGACAGATCAAATTTTCTTTCATACAGATAAATAAATGATGAATTATTCAAATTTGGTGAAAATTGTCTACCTGAGGCATGCATTCTCAAAAGAAAGATCTTAACAGATCTAACAGTAACCACTTTTCAATGCATTGACACCAACAAAACTAGTTAACATACGGAAAAAAATCATCAGCTAGGGTGTTCAAATTCAATCAACCTAGAGATGACATTCCAACAAAGTATCTCACTGTGAGCAAGCTAACATAAAGTCACTTTCTATTTATTTGATGGAAGACAATAAGCTCTTACTTTCATACTAGAATAAGCATTTCATTGGATTTGGATGATATGCATTAAGACACCACAGAAGCCTAACAATACATGTCTGTGACAAAACTAATAGCCTCTACGAAAGATCTAGAGCTAGAAGTGTGAATGGAATTTAATATGAAAACCAGAGTCATGTCAACAAGAGATCTAGTGAACATTAACTTGAACACAAACAATTGAGTCAGCACTCTTCCCCTCATGTAAAACATTTATAATTTTAGTACTAAGGATGTAATGATTCAAGATCTCTAAAGAGAGGTGAACAGTGAGAAATGTTTGCTGATAATTCTAAATGTAGAAAAAATCATATGCATTCATCACTGTAATTATTCATTGCATTTTTAGTGTTTTGTTCCTAAGAAACTTCTCATTTCATTCCAAAACGGAGTTCTAATCAAAACAATGTTAGTAATTTATACATTGCATAATTGACATATAGTTGTGATACATATGCATACAATTAGGCGTATACCACACTTGTCAAACTATGCATGTATAAAGATGCAATGGTATACTTCAAGCAGTCTAGACAGACTAATGTTTTTTATGAAGGTAAGTGACATTTAGAAAACGTGCACTGAAATGCATGCAACCATCAGCTTATCTTGCTACATGTAACATGAAAAACCCATACAAACACAATATGTGCAAATCAAATGCAACTCACTTGTGTAATCTCTCAATGTATTTGTCCAAAACAGCCATCTTATCAGTTTCAGATAAATTTTCTTTTCTATTTCTGCAAAAAATTTGAAAAAGAGAAATCTGACTACACAGTTCAGTTGACACCAGTCAGAGAGGAATCAGACCATACAGTTCAGTTGACACCAGTCAGAGAGGAATCAGACAGTATAGTTAAGTTGTCACCAGTCAGAGAGGAATCAGACCATACAGTTCAGTTGAGTTTACACCAGTCAGAGAGGAATCAGACCATACAGTTCAGTTGACACCAGTCAGAGAGGAATCAGACCATACAGTTCTGTTCAGTTGACACCAGTCAGAGAGGAATCAGACCATACAGTTCAGTTGACACCATTCAGAGAGGAATCAGACCACATAGTTCAGTTGTCACCAGTCAGAGAGGAATCAGACCATACAGTTCAGTTGACACCAGTCAGAGAGGAATCAGACCACATAGTTCAGTTGACACCAGTCAGAGAGAAATCAGAACATACAGTTCAGTTGTCACCTGTCAGAGAGGAATCAGACCATACAGTTAAGTTGACACCAGTCAGAGAGGAATCAGACCATACAGTTCAGTTGTCACCAGTCAGAGAGGAATCAGACCATACAGTTAAGTTGTCACCTGTCAGAGAAGAATCAGACCATACAGTCAAGTTGACACCAGTCAGAGAGGAATAAGACCATACAGTTCAGTTGACACCAGTCAGAGAGGAATCAGAACATACAGTTCAGTTGTCACCTGTCAGAGAGGAATCAGACCATACAGTTCAGTTGTCACCAGTCAGAGAGAAAACAGACCATACAGTTCAGTTGTCACCAGTCAGAGAGGAATCAGACCATACAGTTCAGTTGTCACCAGTCAGAGAGGAAACAGACCATACAGTTCAGTTGTCACCAGTCAGAGAGGAAACAGACCATACAGTTCAGTTGTCACCAGTCAGAGAGAAAACAGACCATACAGTTCAGTTGTCACCAGTCAGAGAGGAATCAGACCATACAGTTCAGTTGTCACCAGTCAGAGAGGAATCAGACCATACAGTTCAGTTGACACCAGTCAGAGAGAAAACAGACCATACAGTTCAGTTGTCACCAGTCAGAGAAGAATCAGACCACATAGTTCAGTTGACACCAGTCAGAGGAGAATCAGATCGTACAACTCATTTGTCACCAGTCAGAGTAGAATCAGACCATACAAAAAACATCCACATTGGATGCAAGTATTTAAAATATAAAAATAACCAAACATCCTTACTTCTTTTCACCAGTAGAATAAACAGTTGCAGATTCTACAATACTACTGTCATCATCATCTTCATCACTTTCTTCCAGATCTTCTTCATCCAATTCCAAGTCCCCAGATTTACATATGCAATATTTACGTTTTGGTGGCTTTGCTTTTCTCAGATAATTATGGATATCCTTTAAATCTTTAATTTTTTCCCTGAGTTCCTTTATTTGCATTGATACAAACTGTGAATGTTCATTCCACGCTTCTTTTGATGATGAGACCTAGAAAAACCAGATACTCTCTCTGAATATAGTAAAATCTAACTTTACTACACACATGCACCTCACTCAATACACTGAATAAATCTAACTTTACTACACACATGCACCTCACTCAATACACTGAATAGATCTAACTTTACTACACATGCACCTCACCCAATACACTGAATAGAACTAACTTTACTACACACATGCACCTCACTCAATACACTGAATAGAACTAACTTTACTACACGCATGCACCTCACTCAATACACTGAATAGAACTAACTTTACTACACGCATGCACCTCACT